AGAAATGTAAAAAGTGAGCAAATTGCAAGTTCAAAAAATTGTGCTCTTAATATGTCCCGAGAAATCGATAATAAAACACAAAGTACATCATTGCAATTAAAAAAAAAACTTTATTTAATGTTTCTAAAATTACAAATAAACATAGCCAGAAATGAATATGCGATATATTGTACTTAGCTGACTCATCTTCAGGTAAATGGAACCAAGCATCGCAGAAACAGACACTCAATGTTTATTTCGATTGTCCTTTTTATTGTAAAACTTGTGGTTTTACTGTAAAACTTGTGGTCAATAACTATCATTTTCTGAATAAATGTTTCTACTGTTGGAAAAAATGAAAAACATGGTCTTATTCTTAACAAAGTTTTTTTTATATTTGACATAGGTATTCTTTGAACCTTAAAGTTCGCTTTGCATCAAATTTAAATTTCAAATAATTTCAATAGTGATTATATTAAATTTCAGCACTTAAGTGGTCAATTACACTTTACTTTATATAGTTATAGCTAAATACGTAAACGTACTTAATGTACATTCAAATAAACAAAATAAAAAAAACTATTAATTACAAAAAATTGCCGAATTTTGGTCTTTAATAATTTTTTTCCTCAAATACTATCAACTTTACAGACAAACTGCAAGAGATAAAAATTGTTTATTTTCTTCTCATAGAATTTTTTCAGTATTTTTTATCAACTTTTTGGTACTGCATTTTCTTATTTTTACCAACATGAGAAAATACGGTATTAAAAAATTCTGAAAGAATTCTGAAAAAATCCTCAAAATCCTTTATGACAAGAAAATAAACAATTTTTGTCTCTTACTATTTTTCTGTAAAATTGATAGAATTTGAATAAAAAATTATTTAAAATTAAAATTCAGCGATTTTTAGTAATTAGTATTTTGTTAACTATTGAAAATTAAAAATCAAAAGATAGAGAACTTTTCGATTCAGTTTAGTCCGCTCTATCTACACGAGCGCTTCGTTAAAACTTATCAGACATTCTGTACATATAATTTCATTTTTTAAGAAAATGGAACAATGACGTTATAGTAAAAAATTTAATTTTAACACGAAAAAAAATCATAAACATGTTACCTTCGGGAAAATAAATATTTTTACTTAAAAAATCATAACTTCTTAAATTTATAATGTTTTTAAATCAGTTTTAGTCTACTCTTGATGTACTTAAAAGAATAGTATAGTTATACGCCTTTCAAAAAAAATATTTGTTTTGAAGGTAAAGGATAATCATTTTTTAGGTGTAAATAAGATGTTAAGTACGGATAAAAGGTTATTTATTATTGCATGGTTTAAGTTATGTTATTAATGTAAAAATTATTATTATTACTATTACTATTATTAATACTGAAGACAAATATAAATGAAAAACATAAAATACAAAAAATATATAGAAAATGTTATTCTTCGCCACCGCAATCGGTACACAAATGGAGTTTGTATTTATCACACATGGATCGTAGGCACGACGTTTCCTCTTCGTTGTTTTATTTTTACTTGAAGGACACAATATCCATATCTTGCTTATTTTTATAATTCAATACAAAAATATAAATCATAAATTTTGTTAATGAAGACGCGTTGGTCACACTTACTAACATTTTGACAAAAAAAAAACGCTTTTTGTGTAACTGGCTGCTAGACGCATATTAACGATTTGTTAAAAAGCTGGGCATCTCTATTTACAGTTGAAGCTTCAAACCTCCAGCAGATACGCGTCTTTCTAAAGCCAAGATTCTAAAATATAGCGCGAAAGATGATGCTCGTATCATTTTGACTCACGGAGATCACGAAGGGTAAAATACGTTTTTCTCATTTTATAATTTATAAATAAATTATAAATAAATTTTTGAAATCTATTTTATTTTAAATAAGTCATACGACTTATTATTTAGTTTGATTAACTCCTGTGTAAGCGATGTGTTATGTTTTGGAAATAAGGGGGATTTCAATTATTCGTATATGAATAATTAAAATCTCCCTTATTTGAATAATGTATGAAGTTACGATCACCTAAGTGAGTAGGATGACAGGTCACGGTAACGTTAACATTTTTATTTACATTTAATTGAATTGTAAATGATCGAAAAGCAATTGTTTAACATTCATTTCGAAGTTATTTGCTGCTATTTCGATATCCTAATAACTTTTTGTTCTTCTTGGACAATATGCTACATAATATGATACAATTCTATATCAATGAAGTAGAAAGTTATTTATTGTGATAAAGGTGAATAAATTGCGTTAATTACAAAATGTGAAAATTTCCGTTAAACATGAAAGGATCTTAATAAGTCTCAAAACATAAAATATTTAAAGGTATCAAAATGGTTTATGACTTATCGCCGTGTTACGATCCATTGCTAATGTCAACCTTTCGTGAACTTTTGTCTTTTACTTTATCAACGCGAACGGTGCACTGATACAATATTAAAAGTATTAATATAAAGTCTCGTATGAGATAATAATAAATACCACTAAAACGCAATCAGTAAGCAATTTTATATTTCCATACTTTTTACATTAAAAATAAGAAGTATATATGTATAACATTTTAAGTGTTTCCGACATTTTTTTTATTATGTCTCTCCTTATCAAAGGGAAATCCAAAGAAATATAATTAAATGACACTAATCAAATGAGCAAAGAATGATAGTCTTTATTAGCTTTACTAGCACGTTGATGCTAGCCGGAGCTCTCAAAGACGAACAAAAGTACCTATTCCTTACGCAAATTGTTACCCATTCCTAACAAAGAGAGACGGAAAATGATTAAACAAAATCAAAGTTTTTGCCCTATATAGCGATATCTACGACCAATATCCCATTACAATAGCATATGTCAAGATATATCTCGCTAATATATCATGTCCACTGCGCAATTTAAACATATTTATACTAATATACACTCACCCGCAAAAAAAGCGATACAATTAGCAAAAATTTATCAAATTTCAAATGATCATAACTTGGTAAATAATGAAGATAAAAATATGTTTAAAAATGCAAAATGAAGCTTAAAGTGTCCAGTTTAAGAATATTTGAATGAGATTTATTCTGGATCATTATTATCAAAATGTCAGATGACAAAGTGAGAAGATGAAAAGTTGATAATCGAAGGTCCATGATTGCATGGTATAAATCATGTATGACAGTCTAATGGGACAAAATGCACATAAAAGTATGGAATTTTATCTTTAAAATGCTTTTTTACTAAGTTTGATATGATCATTTTTCATTGAGTTATTCCAAATTTAAGGTACCGCTGTCATTAACTCAAGTTATAGTTGTAATTCATCCCATTATAAACTACATAGAGTTTGACGAATCGGAATTGAACCTCATTTTGTGTGTGCATGTGTATGTGCGTACGTGCAGAACACACACACATACACACACACACACACACAAAATGAGGTTTGATAATTCAACTTGGTTACTTAAGGCTATAGCATTTAGATTACAATTTTTAAAAACAATATAACGAAAAGGCTCAAATTTATAAAATTAAAATAATGAGAATATATAGGATTACAAGCAAGGTCTTCGTGCTATATTATTAAACAATTAATTTATTACGTTACGACCCTATTCCCCGTTTCGATCTAGTCGAAACATTCTCAGAATTAAAACATTAACGCAATTTAAACGAAATTAACTAATCATACCAATAACATGTAACGTAATACGAATAAAAATTATAAAAACAAAAAATTAATTAAATTCATGATTATGACTATAAAAATTCATTGCTATGACTGTGAAGTTGCAAATATATTATTAAATCGCTTGATAGTTAAACTATAAAATTGCCGATACATATTAAAACATCGCAATTATAATTGTGAAGGATACATTATTAAAACTTTAATTTTTTTTTTAATTTGGTGTGTGTATGTGTGTGTGTGTGCGCGCGCGCGCGCGCGCGTGTATGTGTACACACACACACACACACACACACACACACACATATGTATATATCATTTAAATATAATACTTATATAGTATATATATATGGTATATATATCAAATTAAAATGGTGACCTATATTTCAGATGATCTGTTTTAAATGCCTCACCCTATATTTACCAAGTATATACCTATATGGTAAATATATGGTAAATATAGGATGAGGCATTTAAAACAGATCATTCGAATAATTCGCTTGTTTTTAACAATAGAAGGAAAGTATCAAACAAAAGTTACATGGTTTCAAGGGGAATGTATTTTGGTCATGTTGTCTTTCTTTTAGATGAAGGCGCTAAAAAGATATGAAGGTCAGCTCGATTTTTTAAAACAGAATTGTATGATTTTTTTTTACAGAATATGGTCCTTCTAATTATTCTGCATATAAAAGTTAAGATGTGTGATAGTGATATAAAAAAACCAATAGCTTAAGAGATATTTTATATATTATTCTGTCACTTGTTGGCATAAAATATTAAATATCTCGTCAACTAATAATAATTTTTTGATAATTGTATCTTAATACTTTTATGAACAGAATAATAAGATAACTCAATTGGTGAAAAGAAAACACATAGCTGTTTTAAAAAAATATGTACGCAAAATGAATAATTTTTTAAATAAGCATTTTTATGTAAAATTTTTTACATAAAAGTATTAAGATACGATTATTAAAAAATTGATAGTTTACGAGATACTTAATATTTTAAGCCAACATGTCACAGAATAAAGTATAAAATATCTCATAAACTATTGGTTTTTTTATATGCAGAATAATTAGAAGAACTTTGAACGAAGAATAGTGTAAAAAAAAATCATACAATTACGTTTAAAAAAATGGAGGTGATCTTCATATTTTCTTAATGTCTCTATCTAGAAGAAAGACAACATGACTAAAATACGTTTCCCTTGAAACCATGCAACTTCTGTTTAGCACTTTTCCTTCTATCGTTAAAAACAAGCGAGTTATTTTGATGATATATTTTAAATGTCTCACCAAGTATAATGTGTGTGTGTGTGTATATATATATATATATATACAGTATAATAGCTCTTTTCGAGAAGTTTTTGACTAATATGATTTAAAAATTAAAATATCAAACTGTAAATGGTAGTTCTCCGTTAATTGCAGCCACCACTTGTTCATTCTTCAAGATCGTCATATGATCATTTTCAACATAATGTACTTTTACCACATTTTGAGTTACCTTAAATAATTACATGCATCATTAACAAAAAGTATTATTAAATTTGATTTATTCAGTTATAGCAAATTTTTTTAAATTGTACCTTGTGCAAACCATAGTCTTCTCTAATCGTTGGCATATTGAACGAGGATATACATTTTAGCAATGTTATGGGAGACTTAATAGGCGGCAAATTAGAAGGATCATATTCTCGGAGAGCGGACAAATGTTTGTAAATCGTTGTAACAAGCATCTTTAAATTTTCAAATGAGAGATATGTATATATAACTGAGAACTGTTTAGCGAAAATATTAAATCTTTCATCCCAACTTTCACATTTCTTCAATTCCATTAAAATCTACGAAAATATAAATATTTCTATTTTTATGCAAGACCATAAGACAGAACGAAGAAATTGATGACTGATTCACATAAAAAAAACTGAAACGTAATATAAATATACCATAAACTAGTTTTAGTGTGAGTCCGAAACAAAAGTTACTTTACCTTTTGAGAACTTCCTGTTGAATAGATTTCCATAATATTAGTTAATATATCTATCTGAAAATTTGCATCATCAAAATCAAATTCAAAAGATTTGAACATTTCTCGTAACAACTCAGGAGCACCGTCGATGAGAACAAGTCGACCTTTAAAATTCATAGCTTCCAATCTCCTAGTAATTTCAGTTGCGATAAGAGATCCGAAGGAATATCCTACCATTACAAAATCTTTTCCATTTGTCAGTATTGAAAGTATATGCTGCAAAAATATAAAAAGTATTCGATGAAATTTATATCTATTGATACAATGAAAATAATTTTTTATCAACATAAAATGAAATTACTAATGTGATTATTGCATACGTTTGTGAGTTGATTAGTCGTTTCTAATATCATATTTGTAGAATTGATATTGTTTGTCTTATAATGCAATAGTGATGTTGAAAATTTAATATGTGGTATTATGGTTTTAAATATAGAACCACATCCATCAATACCCGGTATAAGAAATACTTCAGTAGTGCTCTGTCTGTTAGTTGAAAAATCTATTGGGAAAACAAAGTCTTCATTTTTTAATGTGATACCAACTAAACTTTTTAAAATCTCTGATTTTTCTACAAATTTCTTTTCATCATCCACATCATTGTCACTGATGTTTGCAATAGACATCTTAAGGAGTTTTGCGAAAGTAAGATTTCGAATCTCTTGTACAGTCTCCATAGGAGCACCTACATAAAATATCAGCAATTGTTTCTATCAGATTTCCTTGACATTTCTTTTTTTTTTCAGCTACAACCATGCTGCTTACAATGGGCCGACTTTGAAGTAGAAACTTATCAAGCTCGTCGAGACAGCAGGATATCTTTTGCTGTAGAGTGCCACCGATAATTAATTCTTTATTGTCCTCCTGCATATCGGCAACAAGACCCACATCACCCACAGCTCCCCACTGAATCGCCAATCCTGGTAATCCTTCCTCCGCTCTTTTCTCGCAAATTCTCTCCATGATGGAATTGGCCATGCCATAATTCGTCTGACCAGCGTTTCCTCTGCCGCAGGAAACGGAAGAGAACACCACAAAGTGCCGCAAGTTAAGACAGATTTTCCTAGAAAGTTTATCCAGCATTTGCGTTGCACGAGCCTTCGATTGGAAGGACTCTGCAAATGATTCTGCAGTTTGGTTTTTGAAGATGTCATCTTTCAGTACCACACCCAGATTGAATATAGCGTCCACTGGAGCTTCTTTTTCTGCAGTCCTTAAAATATATTCGCAATCTTTGAGATCAGCAACATCGATATTCTTGATGATCAGAACGTTTACGCCGTACGATTTCCATAGTCGAATTTTCATGCGTTGATAACCGTTTTTTATTCCATTTCTTGAAATCAGAACGATGTTTCTGGCACCACGAATTATAAGCCAATCAGTTAATTCTAAACCAAATCCGCCTAGACCTCCTAATATAATGTAACTCCTATCTTTGAGACAATAATAGCGACGATACGCGAGAATGTGCTTATCTAAAGGTTCATCCTTCTCATGAATATTTATAATTATCTATAAAAATAATCATATTTCAAAAATGCACATTATACATGACAATAGGATTATATACGGCTTTAATTTACGAATAAATTCTTCCGTTACTATTCAGTACAAGCATACCTTTCCTGTGTGTTTCCCGCTGGCCATAAACCTGAAAGCTTCTTCAATATCAGTTTTTGGAAAAATTTTTGTTTGAATTGGTTTAATTGTTCCATTTTTTAAACCATTGGCTATCATTTTGAACAATAGGGACTTATATTTGTGATCACCTTTGAACATATTATCCAGTATAATCCCATGAAAGCTAATACCTTTATTAAACTCAGATATATTCAGGGAATTATTAGATACAAGATCAAATTTTCCAATCTCTAAGAATCGACCATTTTGAGCTAAACATCGAACAGACACGATTAACTTTTCTTCCGCCAATGAATTTAGCACAATGTCGACGCCGCGACCTTTCGTCTGCTGCATTATCATTTGTTCAAAACTCGTATCTCGAGAATTTCCAATATGATTATCCGGAATGTTCGGAAACATTTTCTTAAGAAAGCTTCGTTTATCACTTGTGCCGACGGTAGTAAACACCTCGCATCTTTCTTTAAGAGCGAGATGAATAGCTGCTTGTCCAATACCTCCAGTACCAGAATGTATAAGTATTTTATCGCCCTTTTTCATTTTTCCATAAATGTATAAGGCTAAATAAACCGTGCTATAAACGCACGGGACTGATGCCGCTTCTTCAAATGTCCACATATCGGGTATCTTCCAACAAAGATTTTCATCTTTCGTAATGACGTTTGCTATGCAACTAGAAAGTATAACTTTTATTTAGTGTCCGTTCTTATTATGCATTTCAACACATATAAATAATTTCTTGTAGCATTTCTTACTCGGTGTCACGAATTCCCATTATACGTTGTCCGTTAGCATCGAAACCCACGAATTCTATTCCAAGAGGTACATACTGAAATAATCGTTCTTTTAAAGTCGTACTTTGAAATGTCAATTTACCAGTGGCGAACATTACATCTTTAAAATTCAAAGACGAGTAGACAACGTGCACTAAATCCTCACGACGAGACACAAGAGATAAATTATTTTCTATCCAACAGAATGTATTTAAGTTTCCTCGAACCTATGAAGAAATAAAATTTTGGTATTATGGTACGACATATATAAAATAGAATTTTAAAAGGAAGCTTTGTAACAGCATTCGATCCTCCATTTGCCAAGTAGAATTTTGCATTTAAAAGACAAACAAGAGATAATATTACAATGATAATGAACAATATTTTAAAAAAGTTTGTATGTACCCTTTGACAGACATGAGCGGTAGGTACAGGTACGGCTTCGGGTCGCGGCAATTTTAAATGTCTGTATGATCCCCAAGTTTTATTAGATCGCAACACATTAATGGTCATATCTTTCTGCAATTGTTCTTGATAGAAGGGGTCTTCAAGAGAGAATTTAGGTGCCTGTTCATCTTGAAGGAGCACACCCCTAACAATTTCTCCACTTGGCTCTTTTCTCAAGCAGTTAATAAAACCTAATAAACCGCACTCAAAATTTTTCTCTCCTACAATTATAATTCTATTATTCTTGTTCTCGTCGCTCAAAAGCGATTTTAGATTCTCCAACCAATTAAAGTTATCATTACTTATGTAAACAACAGTCTTTTCTCTTATTGAAACTTTTTTTTTCAGAAGCACAACTAATTCTTTATCAGTGCGTTTTTCGAGTATAACGTTTAATTTGTATTGCTGCAAATGTTTTTTATAATCAGTTAAGTCGCACTTCTCACGAGTTAACAGATAACCACCCTTTTCCAAAAATGGCAACAGTCGCTGTAATGATGCATGTTGTTTGGTCAAAAGGTTAAATCCAGCAATAATTAAAGTTTTGTCATCTAAAGACTTTTCAAAATCTTTGATTGAGAAATTTTGCGGTAAATCTTCTGGCTTGAAACGATTTGGTGATGTTAATAGTGTGACATTCACTTGTATCAGTGGTATATCACCAAATGCCTCAAGTAGCAACGAAGATGAAAGATATTTTAATTCAACATCATCGACATCTTCTACTAATTCAGTGACTTGCATTTTTATAATTTGATGATCTTCCAATACGAGTTGAGCAGATAACCGAATTGCTTCGTTCAAGGAAATATTAGCGCGATCACAGTGAGCTACAAACGTGTGTTCCTCGATAACAGCATCTTGGGTTAAATTCCGGCGAAAGATCTGAGTAGCTTTCAGACCTCGAATCTCTATACCACCAGCTTTTATCATGTCTATCTCTTTGTACACTTGTACCTGTAACACTATAATATGACAAGTAAAATAATACGCCTCATATTATGGAGATCTCTTACATAATTTTTACGAATTGAACGATGAACTTTTAATAATGAAACTCAATAATAAAATTACGTTTTTCTGTGTCTGTTGTAACTTTTGCATTATCTATGCTTTCACGCAGCTTCGAAGCATGAAGCATTGGATTGATCACTAATTTTTGTATACTCGTTGGAACATACAAATCCCTAGTGTCATATCTGAAAATTAGCATTTGTAACATAATGTCCATAAATGTTTCCCAACTATTTTTCCAAACGATATGTCCTTGGGATCCCGAAACAGAGATACTCTTTAATCCCTGAAATGAACCCCTATATTGGTATCCACGCAATTTCAACTCTTTGTAGATATCTCGTGCAGTCATATCTTCATCAACATCATTATTCTTCGGTAAGAGATCTGTCGGAATCATTTCTTGTTCTGGATTCAATGTCTCGTATACTGTACCTGTTACAATAACGTTATCTCCTTCCGTTATTTCAAACTTTCCATCTGCAATATTTATGTATGTTTGATTATACTGTATTTTTGTCATCGTACTACATTAACCGTAATCTGTTCGCTAATCCATCGTACTCAGATTCTTTTTTCAATTTCTTCGTAAAGAATTATATTTTAATAAATGTTTAAACAATATAATTTAAGATACAATGAACCCGCAAATACTGCTATGGAAATTTCAAGAAAAATCCATTTAAATTAAAACAATTAATCCCATAAATACCTGTCTGTATTGCAATATATAGTTGCACAGTATCATTTTTCGACAAATGAATAGCACGAATAAATTTTACATCTTGGAAAACTATCGGTATCGTTGTGTATATTTGTCCTTTCATCATGCCAATAGTTTTCCATATGAGTCCCAAATAACCTGTCGCGGGTAGCAAATTTTTCCCATCAATTACGTGATCGCTCATATATTCATAATCCTCATCGTTGAGTAAAATATTGACATATCTTCCTCTCGATTCTATAAACTCGAGTTTTTCTTTCGGTACAAACCAATTTTCAGAATGATCCCATCTGATTTATTATAATTCACGTTTATACATAAATAATTATATATACATGCACATATAATATATTACTGCTTATATATATAATATGAATAAATATAATTGGTGAACTGCGCGAATTTGGCTATTTTTATAAGTTAATAACTCGTTAATTATTACAACAATTGTAAAATGGTTGAGGACTTTTTAGTTTAGACCATTCTGCCCTTGTGCGAAAAATTTATCACTAATTTCCAAATACCCTGTGTGTGTGTGTGTGTGTGTGCGTGCGTGCGTGCGTGCGTGCGTGCGTGCGTGCGTACCTGCGTGTGTGTGCGTGTATGCGCGCGTGTGTATGTGTATAATATATTAGACTGATAAGAAAAAAAAAATTTTTATTTAATCGTCCTCTTAGCTCAAAAGCTTCCATTTTATATCAATAATGATAAATAAAGAACACTCTAAATTTTTATTAAAAAATATTAAGATTTAGAGGTCGCTAGTCAGAGGTCGAACAATTTTTTAATAAAAGTTTTGATTTTTATTGACGTTTAATTTGATTTTGCAAAAATAGCTTAATCCAGATTTTAAATGTGGTATTGTGTATTTTTTTGATAGCTGAACACGATGTAATAATATTCATTTAATCCTACGATATATGCCTTAAGAAATACAGCCTATTAATGTGAAAAAAATGACTAAATTTCAAGTTCAAGGTTCGATTTTAGCAAAATTCTATGCGTACAAATGGATGCGTTACTTGCTTCAAATTATAAGTTTATTCACCCAGAACAAGATCCAATTGAAATTTTCCCGGGACTTCTACAGGGCTTTTAAAAGTTGCATTTAATTAGATTATAAAACGTATTTAAGGATACAAAAAATTTTTTCTATCCTTAAAAAAGTTCTAAAATATATCGCTTTGTTGTTTTGACATCCTCAAATTAAATATTTCAATTTGATGATAAAAAATTTTATTAGAAAATAAAATGAGTACATAATACGAAAAAAATATGAATAAAACTTCCCCTTTAAAAACGAAAATTCTCTGTAAACAATAAAAACAACTGTTTTTAAAGCGGGAAATCTATTTTAAAGCAAAGATTTTTTGTTTTTAAAGCAGGAAATTTATTTTAAAGCAGACAATTTTTGTTTTTAAAGCAGGAAATTTATTTTAAAGCAAATAATTTTTATTTTTAAAGCAGGAAATCTATTTTAAAGTAGAGATTGTTTATTTTTAAAATAAAAAATGAATGAAATGTAATACATTCTTCATATTGGAATGTGTATGTTGTGTTGAAAAAGTATCCTATTCATAAAAACGTTTTTATTAATAACTTTTTAAATAAATTGAATAACGAGCAAATAAAGAAGGTTAATGACTTTGAGCTTCTTCAGGATCAAGCTCAAGGTCATTCGGAAGTTATTCGGCTGGCTGTGTAAAGGGAAAGTTTTACCAAAATATGATTTAATTAATTGAAATAAATTATATATTTAGTATATCTTTTTTTATTATATATTCATACACACATACACACACACACACACACACACACACACACATTTCATTTTCCAATAAAAAGTTCTTTTTGTCAAATTGAGGCATTCGATTTGAGGATGTCAAAACCACAAAGCGATATACTTTAAAACTAAAAAAAAAATATTTTTCTATCCTTAAAATTTTATAATTCAGTTAAATGCAATTTTTAAAGGCCCTGTAGGAGATTCCAGAAAAATTCCAACTGGAATTGAGTACAGAATACAAAAAAGATATGATTTAATTAATTGAAATAAACACATAATATGTAACTTATTTCAATTAATTAAATCATATTTTTTTGTGTTAAATGCAACTTTTAAAGGTCCTGAGAAAATTCCAACTGGATCTTGTTTTAGGTGAACAGACCTATAATTTGGGGGGAGTAACGACCCATTTGAACGCTTGGAATTTTGCTAAAATCGACCTTGAAATTTGGTTTTTCACATTAATCGGACTGTATTTCTTAAGGCGTATACGTATCATACAGTTAAATGAATTATTGCATCGTGTTCTGCGACCAAATAAATATATACCACATTTAAAATCCGGTTTAAACCATTTTTGCATTAAATCAAATATATGTTAAGGAAAATTAAAACTTCGATTTAAGAATCGTTCACTAGCGATCTCTAAATCTTAATATTTTTTGAGAGAAATTTAGGAGTGTTCTTTTGTCATGAAATGGAAGCTTTTAAGAGGTCGATTAAAAAAAAAATTTTTTTTCTTGTCAATCTAATACACACACACACACACACACACACACACACACACACACACACACACACTTTTTTATATAAAAACAAAAATAAAAATAGGACTTTCGGGCAAATCAACAATAAAAATAAAATTATTATTTAACATTCGAACAGGCAAACGAGAGTAATTCCGCGGTTTTTCTTTGGGTTTTCTTGAAAGCTTATTCTTCAATTTCTTACATTAGTCTCGTACGTTTTTGTTGTTGTTCTCTTATTTAGATGTCATTAAAAGTGCAATTACAATGATATCTACCTGATTGATGGAGAAATCATAGGAGTTCCTCGACTAACTGGAAATTCAACTGATGGGTACAAATTGGCAACTTGTGGCTGTAAACCGCAATTGTAAAGCTTTCCAATTCCTTGTAGAATTGTATTAATATTTTTTTCGGTTTGTCGTGTTAATACTAAGTTTGTCACGTTTAGAGGTAAAGAGCTTGTCAAAATGTAGTGTAGAACATCGTCTGGTGCGATTTCGATGACCACAGCGTTACTTGGAATTAATTCCGTTGTTTGTGAAAAAAGGACCTTGTTTAATGTACTTTGAGTGTGATAGTCTGCCGATGATAACTTTGATGTTGAAGTAAACCATTTGGTGCGAGGTATAGAAGTGCTGATCCACTTTGAACTCCGTTTTTTTGGGCATGGTATTATTTTATTTAAATTAAGCAGAAGCTGACTTTCCACGGATGCAACGTAAGAACTGTGAAATGGTATGTTGCAGTTGATCTTCTTCACGTAAATATTGTTGACCTGATTATTAAAAAATGTAACACATGCAGCTGCAGTAAATTATGATATAAAATTAATTTTTCAAAACTTAAGTATTTTTTTTATCCACTAATTTATATGAAAGCTATTTTAATTCTACCTGTAATTTTTTCATAAATTCTTCTATGGATTCCTTTGATCCACATACGACGCTGCTGTTGTCACTATTGTAGCATATTATTTCAATATTCGCTGGACATATATTTTTAAGATGCTCGTAATTGATATTGACAACCATCATCGAGCTATGAATTATTTTTTCATCGGCACATGCCAAACCAATAAAGTATGCTGATAAAATAGTTTGTTCAATAGTGAGGCACTTATCTGCGTATGCACAACCAAGTTCACCAGCAGAGTGACTAATCATGTAATCAGGAGTAATTCCTAAAGATGTTAGGAGATCTACTAAGCCAATCTACAAATATGTATAAATAATTTTATAAGTAAACATTATATACTATAATACTTATTTTTGTTACAATAATAAAATATGAAACATTTTTTTTTATTTTAGTTCTTATGGAAAATAACAACATTAGAAAACGTGTTCTATTTACAAATATGTATAATATTATTGATACTTATAGAGAGGAAGGCCCCCCCCTATTATGAGATAGGAGCCTAATATGAGATAACGGCGTCTCTGCTAAACTAATAAGCGCTATCTATTAGTCCCAATAATAATAATAAATTTATTGTTCTTGGATTGAAAACTATTTAGTGAAAAATTCATTATTAGATCATGTCTTAGTCATTGCAAAAAAAAATTTTAGTATTAAATTCCCTTCAAGAGAGAGACACAGAGAGAGAGAGAGAGAGAGAGAGAGAGAGAGAGAGAGAGAGAGAGAGAGAGAGAGAAAGACCTATTTACTTTTTTAAATTCTGCTCATAAATTTTTAGCATTTACCCAGAATGAACTCGATATCTCATAATAAGGATCTTTTCTCTATACATATGAGACATTTTTTAACAAATCGAACGGATTTTGTCAAAAATATAGGATCATATTTTTTATTTGTTTCAAATCTTTTTACGTATTTCCTATATAAAATAAGCCGACATTTTACCTTTTTTTTATCAATATTTTCGAACATACAGAAGGTTAAAGTTTTAAAAACTCACCGATTAATCACTTCTTAAAGTCGCGATAACTCCACTTCTATTCATTTTACAGAATCTAAATTGGGCTCATTTTAAATATAAAAGAATTATCTACATTCATTGTTACTATAATATTGTTGTTAAATTATGATTATTATTAGCAATTAAAATATTTAAAGTCATTTTACTGTTCAAGGCTAAAATAAAATTTTTTTCTAAATACCATGATATTCCTTCTTAAATTTTCTATAAAAGTTATTTTTTTAGAATAATCATTTGATATTATCTGCGTGGAAGAAAATAATTTCCGCGGTGGTGAGTGGCGCGACGGACGGGCACTGGCCGCTTCGTTGCCGTCCTACTGCATCCGTCAATAAGTGTGCGAGAGATTAAAAAAAAATTTAACAACCAAACAAAAATGAGATGTAAACATACACGTGCCTTTTTTGCCACAATGCAGTATGATGATTTGTTTATGACTGATCCAGTGCAGTTATTGCACAAAATGAGTCATTACCCATGAAGGCTGCACTATATATAAAAGATTTGGTAGCTATTTTTATGATGATTGCTAAAACTGATTCTAATTTTTTAAATTTCATTTGCATGGCTCGAGTGATCCATTCGCTTTGTCTAGGTAGGTCGAGCAAAGCGGATGGTTTCTTTTTTTTTTATGTTTTAACTAAAACGACATATTAATGTTCAAGTTTAAAAATTTTTTTTATTTTACTTCAAATTAAGTCCTTTAATTAAGTCCTTTAAGAGATTTATGAGAATAAAAATAGTTTCTGATCTCAATTTTAATTGTGTCATTTTTTCTTCTCAACCTTAACACGTTCACGCTACGCGGGCTTCCTCTATATCTCTATAAGCGCAAAATATTCCTAGAATATTATTAAAAAATTAAAATTAGTTATTATAATATTTTGAAAATATAATAATCATATAATAATTTTTAATATTACAAGAGTATTTTATGGACTATGGATATACATAGGTTATATGTCCACTTACATAATTGGTACTATATCCTTAATTATCCCTGACATATTAAAATATTTATAAGTATTAACTATTTTTAATTTAGCAATTTGAATTCGCAATCCAATAATGAAAAAAAAGTTCTTATCAGTCTATGCTGCATCTTGTCCTAAAAAAATATTTCGGCTTGATTTTAAGTACATATCTGGTACTACAACTGCGCGCCAAAAATTTCAGTCTTTAAACATATACTTATTTTAAATAGATGTAGCAGTTTTACAAATTAAAGTAAATGCTATTATAATACTTTTTAATGTTTAAACAATATTACAATAACATTAAATAAATTTAAAAAAAATGACTTTAAATATTTCAATTGTATATATAATAATTATAAACAACAATTATAATAATAATGAATACGTAAATGTAGATAATTATTATATATTAAAAAATGAATCTAATTTGGATAAATACTCTGTAGGATGAATAGAAATGGAGTTATTGCGATTTTAATAAGCGCATAATCGGCGAGTTTTGAAAACTTTAATCTTCCGTATTTTCGAAAATATTGATAAAAAAAAATTGCCAAAATACATGTCGGCTTATTTTATATAAGAAGTGCGTAAAAAAATTTTGTAATAAATTAAAAATATTATCCCATATTAGGTACTCAATTTGTAAGAGAATATTTCATATATGAGGAGCAGACTTTGAAAATGTGTTTTGTCCAAAATTTTTAATTTTCAGAAAATGAGGAAGAAAGAAACTACGCATACAAGAAAATTACGCACTTTATAGAAAATAATATATGCCAATCAGTAGAATGCGAAATATTAAACAAAATTGCAAAACAATTACTAAACTAAAAAAATGTTAGACAAATGCATTTTGTTTGTCTCTAGTTAAAAATTGTGCATTTCGAAATATCTATGTTTTTTCAGCATGTAAATTAACGATGAAAAAAATGCTTTCTGAACATCTCAGATAGCTTATAATATGAGTTTTTCAACACTGAACACTACGCTATTTCTAACTAAAAAATGAAATTTTGGACCAAATGCATTTTGAAAGTCTGCTCCTCATATGAAAAATAATGGATTCTTTACCTGAATGGCGACGATTTCGAGAAAAATGTTTAACCTGTTTTCGCATATGCTTTCTTCCATTTTTGTCATAATGTCTATGATACTTATACCATACGGCTTTAAAATATCATCGCACTTTCTTATCGCTTTAGCAAAGACATGGAACTTTAATAAGTTTTGACCTAATAAGAGTTTAGTTTATAAATTATATCATTTAATAGTGATACGTGATTTATTAATAAAATATTGAATATGTACCCATTCCTGGCCAGTGCGAACCTAAGGCTGAAAATATAAACCAGACAGGTCTATTCAAGCCTTCATAATTTCGGATTTCCTTTATTGAATCTTGTTGAAAAGAATTCAATATTATATACCCTCTCCATGGATGACCCGTTATATTGTCTGCATGAATATCATGTAACAGGCGAATATATTCTACATCTATTGGATGGTTAGCAATCTGTAATAATAAAGTTTTAAAAATTAAAATTAAAGACATAACGTCTCCAATTATTCAAAGTAATATCGAAATATTTTTAAAAAATCTAAACTAACATCATTTAAAAATAACTTCACAGATTCTTCAGTACGTCCAGATAATATGACAAGTCTAGGTAAATCATCATTTGGTGCTCCATTATTAATTTTCTGTTTGGGATTCCACTTCAATAACATATGAGCGTTTGATCCTCCAAAACCGTAACAATTGATTCCTACACAACCGTTTTTGAGTGGCATTTGTTCTTGGATGACACGAATGCTCCCATTTAATAAGGCATCTATATCTTTCCTTGGCGATGTATAATTAATATTTGGTGGAACAAAACCAGTTTCGAATCCTATTATTACCTAATAGTTATAATAACAGTTTTGAAGTGTGAATTTAAATTAATTTAAAATGCCGACTAATCATACATTATGTACATGGACAGTTTGATAAACCAGTGCAGACTTTTTAAAAAAAGACTGTATTGAAAAATAAATCAAATTTTGGTAAAAAGACAGTAGTATAGAAAAATTACAAATAATCAAATTATATCAAATAAAAATAAATTTTGTAATAATAGATAAAACTGGAAACCATTTATTTTACCTTAGCGATCTGATTAAAACCACTTGCAGGCTCAGAATGCCCGAGATTAGATTTCACGGAGCCGATCATTAATGGAGTTTCTCTATTTTTACACAAACTGTTATAGATAGCATTAACTTCTTGTGGATCACCAGCTTTGGTAGCGGTACCATGTGCTTCGATATAATCCAAACAAGATGTTGGTAGTTTGTATTCTTCGTAAAATTCCTTTAATAAGGTATATTGCATTTGTGATGAAGGATATGTTATTCCTTCTTCTTTGTAACCATCGCTATTTAGTTTAATATGCGGTAATATGGCATAAATCCTCTTAGCATTTTTCGCTTTTTGAAGGTATACTACTGCAATTGTTTCACTACGCGTATAACCGTTAGCAGCGGTATCAAATGGTCTGCAATAACCGTTGTTTGACAAAACACCTAAGAAGTACAATACATGTAATAAGTATATGTGTATTTAATCGTGTGTATAATGAATTATGTTTATATTTTTATAAATGAGGAAGATGGTTTGAGTGATTCTCTAAATGTCATATTGTATTATGAGACTACTAAATTTTAATAAAAATAGAAAATATATAATTATTCATAATACCAAGTCGAGCGAATTGCAAATTTATCATGGGATAAAGACATAATTGTGCTGTTCCAATTATTGCGTCTTCGCATTTTCCTGATTTGATATAATTATAACCAACAGCCATAGCATGAAGGCTAGAACTGCATGCTGTATCAATGGTACAAGATGGTCCTTTCAGATCCAAACAGTACGAAATCATATTTGCCGTTGCAGATTTATGGCATCCAAAAATGTTCTGACCTCTTGACTAATTGCAAAACATTTATCATTGCAATTTCCGCAAATGAATAATAGGTTCAATTATTTCTTTTTACTATATAACATTTTTATATATAACATATAACATAATATTACATATTGAATTAGGGAAAAAGTCCTTTTTTAGCAATCATATTTTATTTAAAAAAAATTAGCGATAAATATGTAGTTTAGGGGAGCCCTCAATGACCTTGAGCTTTTCATATTGTCAAGGTTATGAACCTGAGTGACCTTGAGAAAGTTTTAACCGTCGGACGGTATTCGTTAAAAAGTTAATAGTTATAAACAAAAGAATTTTAAGAAATAATGTCACATTTCTGTTACATAAAATAAAAATTTTCCCACTCTACCCCACCTCCCTCTTTGCTTGGAGGCACACGCTTGCTTTCACCCTTGGAAGCGACTATTACCCTACTTTCTTCCCAAATAGAGGGCGACGGCGCTGTCGAGTGAAACGCGATGAGTCATGCTACAAATTCGCGCGGCGCGGTTTCACCACACATTGGCACGTTTCTTTTTTTAATTCGAAAACAATAGCGAATATCTTTAATGGTATAAGACTTTTTTGTTTCTCTTGACCCATTCTACGCTCCCAATTTGACTCCTACACTATTTTTGAGACACTCTGTATATATCTCCTATATATATATATATATATTTTTTTTTTACCTTAGTGTCTTTAAATATGAGCTTTTCTTGTGATTCAATACAAGATGTCCCTATAATTAAGGCAGTATTTTTTCCTTGTAATTGTTTTGGATTGATCCCCGCATCGATAATTGCTTCATAAGAATGTTCCAATAATATTCTCGCTTCAGGTACAAGCATATGTGCTTGCTCGAAAGACAATCCAAAAAAATCCGCATCAAATTTTTCTACATTATTGACAGTTCCCATACGACGTGGAAATTCCGCATGATCTAAAAGTAAATATATTTACATAAGGATTTTATGTTCTTTGATTATTATTTTGTATAAAATTTTAATTTGAGGTATATTTTTTTGTTCACTAATAAACATGTAATGATATTTAGTACAGAAAGAGTGGCATATACTGTCTTAATCAAACAAGCATAATTGTAAAAGTATAATATATAATGATTAGAGTGATTGTTATTTTAACAATTTTTGAAATTTAATCAGGACATCCCCTAAAGTAATTCAATATCTCAAAAAAATAACATCAGATTTTTTAAACAATTTTAACCCGTGTCACCGGGGCATAGGTAAGTAAAAAAACATCTATGTGGACAAAATTCGATCGACGTTCTAATTCTTAATCAATTTTAAAGTTTTCATTTTAATTTGCGATATTAAATAAGCTAAAAGCCCATTTTGTGTAAATTTTGATTATTTGATGGTTCAAATTAAAAATTATCGATCCAATATTCGTTATTGTATAATCATGATTTTTTTTACTAACTTTATTGGATCGGAAATTTTTACTTTGGACCATAATCAAAATTTACACAAAATGAATTTATAGCTCATTTAATTTCGAACAAATTAAAAAAAAAGAACTTTAAAATTGGTTACGAATTAGAGCGTCGACCAAATTTTGTCCACAAACGTGTTTTTCCGCCTACTCGTGCCCCAGCAGCACGAGTTAAAGTTGTTCCGGCCCCCGGCAAGACTGGCGAGAGGAACTGGGGATGAGATGGCCATCGTTAGCCTGAAGGGTCATCCGAGGGCCAGACGGGATTCCGGGCAAGATCTAGGCCTTGGCCTCGGACAGAATAGGGGAATACCTGAGATAAATTTTTAACAGTTGCCTCAGATTTGAAAAGTTCCCCTCTCCCCCAATGGAAAAGGGCAAGATCCTTTTATGAAGTGGGCCGACCAGCGGAGTCCCTAGGCCTACGATTTGTTTGCTGAACGATGCTGGCAAACTCTTTGAACGAGTTATCACTGGTCGGATTTTCTGATACCTGACCCGGGAGGACCCCGATTTATCACCAAGGCAGTATGGATTCCGCGAGGACCGTCAACTTTATTCAGCAGGTTCGGATGTCCATAGTGTCAGAGGGGAGGATGATTATGACTGTATCGTTTGACACAGTCAACGCTTTTAACACCCTCCCTTGGAACCGAGTAGTGGAGGCGCTGGAACTCATAGCATTCCTCCTTATCTGGTCCCCATTGTGTCGGATTACTTCCGGGGAAAATCGTTAGAGTTCCGCAAGGAGAGACTTCAACGAAACAAAGGGGTGTCGTACGGTATATTTCATAAGGTCCCCTTTTCTGGAACATTGGTTATGCAGTGCTGTCCTTTTTCTCGGCTGTTATGCAGATGACACTTTGGTTCTGGCCGGAGGGATGAACTGGGGGGAAGCTGTAGCCATGGCAAACATTGCGCGGTACATTCCATCAGTTACAGTTGATAGTCTGATTTCGCGTTCGCATATGTATATATATATATATTGAAACTGTTTCATGGTGTAAAAGAGGTGCAAATGCGAAATCGGACTATCAACTGTCAATTATGATAGAATTATAAACATTTATTTGTTGTTACGCAGAGTACATGGAAAGTGCCTTCCAGGAGAAAATTGCAGGAGTGTATTGTTTTATTCATTTCATTATTACCGAAACTTTGAATGGGGCGCGCTATTTGTACTGTTTCCGGCCGGTACCCGGCAATAGCGTCCTTCCGCTTTTATGTCGTGACTCTTATTAAAGGAACTCTACTGCCCACCCGGGGCACCCTCACCTAGGCCTGAGGCAGGACACCGGCGGGGATTTTAGTGAGTGCAAGTCCTACATAACCTTCGGCTTCTTTCCCGCGAACTGAAGTTATACGTAGGCATTTACCCCACCTTACAAAACAAGACTTAAAATTGTTCAAAAAATCTATGAAAAATTTGGTATTATTTTTTTTTTAGATATTAAACTATTTTAGGGGGGTTTTGATTAAAATTAAAAAATAAATTTCTTAAAATAATAACCTAATAAATAAATATGAATTAATCACCTATTTGCCATCGGTTATGATCTTCTCTTACAAGATCAATTTTATTAAATAAATTTTCTTTAAAATGTTTCATATCACGTGAATTAGGAAATCTGCCAGCAATACCAGAAATAACGATTTCCTCACCGGGATCAATATCGTTCCAACATTTACATGTTTCTTTGCCATCCATGATATTTATATACTCGGATAATCTAGAAAAGTACTATGTATATTTATTTTATGCAAGGTTAAGTATAAGTTTATTTTTCTTTCAACTGAATTAAGTTAAAGTTAATTATCCATAAAATTAATTTATTTCTGTTAGAATCTATGTAAACGAAAAACTTAATTAAAGTTACGCGCACGCGCGTTAAGATCAACTGAATTAAAGTAAATGTTAATTTTAGAAGAGCATCATTCATATTAAAATATGAATATACATTTTACACAAAAAAGAAACAATAAAAATTATCGATTAAATTTATTATTAAATGTATTATTTGTAATATAAGTTTATATAAATTACTGAAGAATGTTATTTTTTTTTATCGAATAACTTCAGTATTTACGCCTCATGGGAGTTATGCTGCAGAATTCACACAAAAGATAGAAGAAGTAAGGAGATAATTTGCGCAAAATAATTTTATTAAATGTCTTTATGTTATATTAGTGTGTTATAATTGAATTTTTTACTGTTAGTAAAATTACTGTCAGTTATATCGATTTGTCAATATAAGTAACGCAATTACATAGAGAAGAAGGTGGTATTATGGCATTCTAGTTACATTTTACACAATAACTTTAATAATCAATATTTAAATTTAAAACTTGACAATTACATTAAATCGTAAATTGTTGAATCGATTCTAAACTCAAAGTTACGAAATATTTATTACTTAGAACACTATTAAAAATATAGCGACATTGCATAATAACTCCAAGAAAAACATAGATGGTAAAGTGATCTTCCATAAAAATAGCCTTAAAAAATTAGTTTTGAAAATAGTATTTGGTTACAAAATTAACAAAAAAGTAAAACATTTAAAAATGTGTACAAATAAATGTATATACATTCACAGAACTTCTACATATATGTTGCTCAGTCCTAAAAATCTCAGTACTGAAAATAGTACATGTAATATGAACTATAGATTAAGAGAAAGCATTCACGCAAAAATCAATTATCAGTAATCTTTCATTAAAAATTTTGAAAATATGTATTATACTTTTATGTTACTTTGTAATGCTGAACTGAATGGTGTAAAAATAAATTAATAAAAAAAATTCTTTTTCTATTTTTTTGAAAAAAAATTTGATAAAAAAAATTAGATTACTGGTAGTTAATTTTAACAGTAGAGCTACAATCGATTAAAAAAATAATTATTTTGATATAAAAACTTCAAAAAGGGCCGTGAGTAATCAATCACCATGCTATTATTTAAATTTGCATAACCCAAAACATATACAGTTAAATAAAATGTTAAATAGCACAATGTCTAATTAAATAAAATATACTTCAGAAACGTTTCGAAATATGTACTTGAAAGTAAAAATGCGTTATAATAAGTGCTATTGATTATTGGTATATAGCGTCATGGTATAACGGCGAGTTATTGAACAAATAGTTTTAATGATAAGTAATCATTAGGATTCGCTATATAATAGCGGGGATATTAAGGAAGGCCACAATATCTACTGGCCATAATATCACCTTTTTCTCTATATTATGATCCACATAAAATAATTAGAAAAGAGTAAAGAATGATGTAATATAAATACAAGGGCTTAGCTTTTTTTCTATTTTTTGCTCAGCTTTATGTCTTATGTATCCTACTTGTTTTGGACATACAACATTTTTAGCGGGCGAGATTTATGGCTGACGAATACAAAGTGCGAATTTAGTGCATTGAGTGCAATAAATGCATTACATGAAACATGTACCTCATGTCGTATTGCTTACACACCCTTTCATTTGTAATAATGCAAAATATTTTTATACACACACACTATATATATATATATATATATATATATATATACATACAATTTTTTTCTCAATAAAACTTTGTAAACACACTCTATAATTGTGTCTTATTTTTAGCATCATTTATAAATTTTTTTTATGTGACGTACATTCTTCCTATAAATAACTCACCTCTGTGCAAAAATGGAAGGATTATAAAAAGTTTTTTAATGTAAAAATATTTTAGATTCCAAATACTTTTTTTATAGTAGTAGAAAGTACAAAATTTTTAGTATAGTTAATTTACCTTCAATCTAGCAAATAATACTTAAAGTAAGTTTTTTTTTAGCTGTGGCGTATATACTGAAGTTATCCTATTTTTTATATGAAAATATGCATTTTTTAATTATGAAAACCGAATAGTAATATTAAAGGATTAGAAACATTTGAAATTTAGATTGATTCCTGCTTAAAATTTCCCATTGAAACCGATTGAAAAATTTCTTATGGGTTCGAATACGAAGTGCGCAACAGCAATCTCTGATTGATTTTCTTCCTTTCTAATAGAAAATCAAGGAGAATGAATTGATAAATAATATAACAATGTAATAGGTTTAAATCGGATTATCTATGATACAATTTCAATAAGATTTAATAGGTAGTCCTATCAATTCATTTTTAAACGATCTTAATATAAAAATCACTTTTAAAATTTAATGCGATTTTATTGGGGCTCACACAATACACATTTAGATGAATTTTATCGGTTTTAATAGGCTATGTGTTTTTCACGGTATTTTAACACAGTTTTTAATGGTATTCAGTATTTTTCATATGAATACACGTTTAATGGATTTTTATGGGATTCTACCGGTTTTAATCCGAATTTCATTTTCATCAGTTCAATGAGATTTAATCATTTCTTTTATATGCGTTTAAAATCCATTAAACGTGTATGCTGTGAAAATTGATAGTATCCTATTAAATTCGATCGAAGCAATTTTCCGATTAAAACACCCATTGAACACCGTGTGAAATCCGATGCATTCTTATTAAACGTCATGTAAATCTTTTGTTTAAAACCCATTGAATATATATATATATATATATATATTAAGATAACCGATTAAATCTCATTTAATTCTGAAAATTGCAATTATTTTATTAAATCCGATTGATGACCAATGGTCAAAGTGGGTAAAAACTTATCAATTCTTGCAGAAGATAGAAATCCTATTGAATCTTATTATTGAATTTTTAAACGGATGAATTTATATTTCCTATTAAAGCGATTCATTCGCATTACATTTTTAATTGGTTTCAGATTGGTTACAGATTTAATTAGTTTCTACCGATTTCAATGGGAATTTTTAAGCAGGGATATACTAATTATTAATTGGATATTAGTAATTATTATAAAATAATCTGTGTTGCACGCGCGCGTTATTTAAATAAAATTTTCATTAACAAAAACAGTTGTTTTCAATAAAATATCTTCTTTTTTTTAAACTCAAAAGAAGTGCAAATAGCCGTACACAATCAAGTCATCGTGCTCATTATGATCATTGAATCTTTAAAATTATTTTATAAGAAGAGAATGTTCATGTTTCAAAAATAAAAAACTTTAATTTTGTAAAAATTCATAGGGTAAAATTCATGTTTTACAACATAACGAAGTTAAAAATTAACTTATTTAAAATTAATTTATTTAAAGTTAACTTATCATAAATTATATTTAAAAGTTATTATCTTTTGAAGTTTATCATGTAACTTTTAACTTATACTAATTGCTCCCCATTTTGTATATTTATAATTTAATTTTTATATTCATGATCGATTATACCTGCTGTTAATATTCGCAATGTTGATATTCTTCAGTGCTGTTTATATTGCAGATGAAAAATAACTGAGCTCTTCAATGACAAACTGCTCTTTATATTAACGTCACCTCTTACAATCTATATTAGGTGGTCTGATATCATTATCATCTCATCTACATTGCTGACTAAAAGTCTAGACTGATGCCCAGAATTAGTTGTACATTTCAGGCCGATTTCTGAAGCGCTGCCAACTTTTATCTACTATCGCTCAACGCTCGATGACGCGCCGAGTCGCCGGATATATATATAATATATATATATATATATATATATATATATATATATATATATATATATATATATATATATATATATATATATATATATATATATATATATATATATGTATATGTATATATATGTATATAGTTGCGAATTATAATTTTATTTCCCAACACACATATAAGATAAACTAAATAACATAGACGTTTTGATCCGAATTTTGGGTTTTCCTTAGTATTAGCGTTGAGTAATGAATAAAATACTGTATTACATACTAGACATTGTTCTGTAAATCATTTGAAATACGTTTTTGTTGTCAAGATATTGCTTAACATTAAGAATTGTACTTAGAATAGTCAAGATATTGCTTATATTGAAAATTGTGCTTAGAAACGTCATTAGACTTCCTGGTTTGACAATTTCAGATTGTTATGAATATCGATGTTACATGTACAACGGTTGATTATGATCATAACCGTTGTATATGTAACATCGATATTCATAGTAATCTGAACTGTCATTAAAGGTTATCAGGAAATCTAACGACGTTTCTAAAAGCACAATTATTGATGTTAAGCGATTCCTTGACAACGAAAATGCATTTCAAATGATTCACAGAACATGTTATAAAACACTAATAAACAGGCTACCCAAGTTTAAATTTTTACTGTTAAGAATCTTTCCATGGGTCTTATTTTATGAAACATTTAATTGAATAACTAATTGAAAAGGAACATTTTATACAAATATATTTGTATAAAAAATGCAGGGATGGGTAGTAACATCGTAAATTTTATCGTTATAGTCGTTTATAATAAACGACTTAATAACGACGTTGCAGTTTTTTATGATTGCAACGATATTGATACTATACTAATTTTATGCTAAGCTTGGAAAAGTTACATTTTATCATTACGCGTTTACTTACTAAAAAGATTATTTGTAATAAGTAACGCACAATGAGTAGAAAGTAACGCGTTATATAATGAGTTATGTAAATAATGAGTTACTTTTTTTCAGTAACGAGTGATCGTTTCAAATCTTTGTACGTAATGATTGAGTGATTTTCTAACCTTGATGTTGTATTAAAAATCTTCGTATAAAAAATGTACTAAAGTAATTAATTAATATTCTCTTTATATAGAAAATTCTCGCAGAACATACATTTGTAGCGCTTTCTTATTTCTTTAAAACAAATAAATTTATATACTAATATATCATGCCTTTGTAGTGTTTAATGTCTTTCTATATAAAAAGAATATTAATTAATTACTTTAGTACATTTTTTCTTACATTAGTAAATTTTTATTAGTACATTTTTAGAAGATTTTAAATGTAACATCAGGGTTAGAAAGTTACCCAATCGTTACGTATATAAGGCAATATTAAACACTACAAAATACATATCAGTACAAAACTTATTCTTTTGAAAAGGGGTAGAAAAAGGTATTAAGAAAATACGTATTCTTTGGTTCTTTGCGAAAAAATATGTACTAAATTGATTAATTCACATACTGTTTATAAGAAGATGTTAAACACTATAAAATGCATGAGAGATCAATATACATTTACCTTTTTAAAAAAAGGTAAAAAAGTGCTGTGGATACATGCTCTGCAAAAAAATTTTATTAAATTAAAACATATGATGAAACTCCTAAGTGATACGTATTTTTGTATTTATTAAAGTCCCATAAATAAAAATTCTACTTAATTTAAACGATATTAGGTATATAAACGATTTGATATCAATAAAGGGCGCTAAATTATAATCTTTAAAAATTTTACCTCAATTCAAATCATATATGAATCTTGAACAAAATTAAAAAATAAAATCCAAATTGCGTTATCTTTTCAACCCTTATCACAGAATTAAGGACCTAACAAAATAAAATAAAAAAAATTGAATTAAATAAAAAATACTTTATGCAAAAAACTTGGCGTTAATAGACTAAATTAGAAAAATCAGCAATTTAATATCTGAATGTTAATTAGACTGATAAAAACAAATTGTACTGTTTCATGTTAAGATTACAGAAGTAGCTCTATATTACGTGTAAACACATATTTAAATACCAAATAAACTAAATCTTAATCTAATATACATCTAATTTTAATTACGCACGATTATATAACTCATTGGTGTATATATATATATATATATTAGATGTTGGAATTAATTCGTAGCGTTTTACAAGTGATGGGAAGTACTTTCATTAATGTATTTTTTAATGCTCATGTGAAATAAATAACATTCTTTCATTAAAAAACGCTACGAATTAATTCCAACATCTAATATATATATATATATATATTAGGTGCGCAACTAAGGTCTCGCTGTTATTTTGAAATTAATGCATGTGTGTGTGTGTGTGTGTGTGTGTGTGTGTGTGTGTATTTGTAGATAAGTAGTGTTATTTTAACGTACAATGACCCTCCTTATTTTCCTAATTTGATTTTCAGCGTTTTTTGCATAAAGTATTTTTTCATTAAACTTTTTAATGTAGG